CCAGCCTGGGGCGCGCGGGCCACCACGGGGCGGCAGCACGCGCGCGCAAGCAGCGCCGACCGTAGGCGGAGCTTCAGACCAGGGGCGGGGCAGGGGGCGGGGCTTCCAGCCGGGAGTGCCGCTTGTCGCTGTGGTCCTGTCCCGCCGGGGGGTGGGGCGGTGATGCGCGGCCGAGGCCCCACCCCGTACCCTTGACCCGGCGGCAGAAGATGGCGGCGGTGCCGACCCTCGCCCGTCGGATCGCTCGGTCAGGTGCGCCCGGCCCCGCGGGCGAGGTGGCCCTGCGTCCCTCCGTCTCCCTTCTCTTAGGGTCAGCGTGTCCCCGTGCCCCCCGACGCGAGTAGGGGCGTCCCCGCGGCCCCTCCCTGTGTCCTCCCGCCGTGGTCAGGGTGTCCCCATGTCCTTCCTCCGTGGGTCAGGGTGTCCTCCGTGTCCCCCTGCCGTGGGTCAGGGGGTCCCCATGTCCTCCCTCTGTGGGTCAAGGCGTCCTCCGTGTCCTCCCACCGTGGGTTGGGGTGTCCCCCCACCCTCCTTCAGTGGGTCAGCGTGTTCCCCATGTCCCCACCCTGTCTGCGCTGAGCAGTTTTGGGGAACACCTCCCACGCCCGTGGGGGCTGTGCCCTGCCCGGCCCTAACTGCTTCTGTCCCCCCCAGGTGTGCGCCCCCTCTGCCGCTGGCCGTTGTCATGGGGCAGAGCCTCCCGGCAGCCCCCTGGCCTCCCGCTCGCTCCATGTCGTGCCTTCAGCAACAACAAGATCCTGGTGGAGCTGGATGAGAGCTCAGGTATGGCGGGTGGCACCACTATGGTGTCACCCTCAACCAACCGGGCATTGTGGGGCACAGGCAGGGCCCCTTCCATGCCTGCCCCACAGCACGTGTGGCCTGGGGCCTGCAAAGCCACCAAAGCCCTGGATGTTCCAGCTTCAGCTGCTTAGTGCCCTCAGAGAGAAGCGTTTGGGGACGGGAGTTTCACCGGTCATGGGCACTTCAGGTGGCTGGGTGCTGCTTGGGTGCCACAGGTAAACCCTAGCTGTCACTGTGGGCAGACCTCATGCTCTGTCCCCTGCCCATGTGTTGTCTCCTCTGTGGGGTCCCTGCTTTGGGGACCTGGTAGAGTGGCAGATGCTCCTTCAGGGAGCAGCTGTCAGAGTTTTCTGTGTCCTGGCTGCCAGGAATAGCTGTCACAAGGCCACGTCACTGCACCGAACAAAGGGTGCCTCTTCTTGAGGTTTCCCAGGGCCTGCCTTTAGCTGCCAGGCCCCTGGCTGAGTCCTCACGCTGTCCCTGGCCTGGGCATGGCTGCAGCACCCAGACTAAGCACTCAGTGAGGGCCTTTTGGGGTAGGGTAGTGCTGTTTGGGAGGAGGCAAGGGCTCAGAGCCCTTCCTGCGGTGCTGGCCAGGGTGGCAGTGCTGCCGGCAGGTTCAGAAAGGTGTGTGATCCCCTGGGCATGGGATGTTTGCTATGACAGAAGCTGGAGACTTGACCTTATCCAGTGAGCCCAGAGAGAAGGGAACTGTTGGGCACCATGACCCCAAAAGTGCCTGGTCTTTAGGACACACGGCACGCCACGGCATGCATTCTCGTTCATGCTCCAGATTTACCGCTGGCTGAGTGAGCCTGGCTTGCGGGCAGATCTGGGCAAAGGCAGGGCCCTGCTCTTGGCCCCACCACTCTGGGGGCTTTTTGAAGAGCCAGGAGTGGAAAGACATGATTTGGGTGAGCAGGGAGGCAGGTGAAGCTCCCTTGGGCACATGCTGCCGTGATGGGGAGTTTTGATGTCTCTGTATTTACCATGGCACAGGCGTCGCCATGATGAAGTTCAAGAGCCCTCCAGTCAACAGCCTCAGCCTGGACTTCCTCACTGAGTTTTGCATAAGCCTGGAGAAGCTGGAGAATGACCGGGCCTGCCGGGGCGTGATCTTTACATCTGTATGTGTTGTCCTGAGCTTGGGGTGCGAGCTGCGGGGCAATTTGGCAGGCACGGGTGCTGTTCCCTTGCTTGTGTTTGGTCTCTTGGCTCCCTGATCACTGGCATGGGAGGGCCGGGAGGCAGCTTTTATTGGCTCTGGAAGGAGGGGAGGAGGTTCCTGGAAGGGCTGTGCTCTTTCTTCCATGCCCTTTTCTAGCAGAAGAATAACTGCTGAGTATTGTCATTTGTCATTAAAATCAAGCTGCTTAAATGCAAACCTGACACATCCCTTGAGATCTCTTGAACTGCCTGGAGGGAGCTGCTAGGAGATGCCACTGTTTATTTTCAGACGTGATGTGGTTACAAGGTGGTTCCTAGGAATGGTACAGGACAGGTTTTGTGCAGCATGGCTGATGTACCCTCACAGGGACCCTGATGATGAGAAATTGTGCTGCAAGCAGAGGGTCCCAGCCCTGTAGGCCATGGTGATGGGATGATCCAGGCCGTGGAAGCACTGGGGAGATTGTTTCAGAACCCTAGAAGACTCTGGTTTATGTCATATTTAACTAGCACTTTCCCTTTCCTCAGCCTGCCAGGCCGAGTGCGTTAGAGGGCTAAAGGGTCATCCCTGAGCAGTGACTCTATGTGACGTTTGTGTTTTCCCAATTCCAGGCTGTCCCCAAAATCTTCTCATCTGGCCTGGACATCACTGAGATGTGTGGGAAGAGCATGGAGCACTACGCCGAGTTCTGGAGAGCCGTGCAGGAGATTTGGCTCCGGCTGTATGGCTCCAACATGGTGACAGTCGCTGCAGTCAATGTATGTCCTTTAGATGTGCTTTCCTAGTCACCCCGCATAGTCTGTCACTTGCTGTGGCTTGTTTGCACCGTGTGAGCAGGGACAGCCAAAAAATCAGGCTTGTCAGTGCTGAAACAAATACAGGCATGTATTTGTTGGGATGTCTGGGCAAAGTACCTGTCTGTTGGTTCAGCGCATTGGGGTGTGGGAAGGTATAGAATCATGGGATGTTGCAGGCTCCATGTAAGCTGCAAGTGCTGCTGGGGTACAGCAGCATTTCAGCTGCCATGGAGAGCTTGCACAGCACTCATGTCCTGCCGATGGGGGCTGAGGTGCCCTTGGCAGTGTTTTGTGCAACAAGAGCCATACCCTGCTCCAGGAACTCAGCTGGGAGTCTGTCCTCCAGGCTGAAGGACCAGGAAGAGGGCTGTAGGCCAGTGGTAAAGCCCAGAGGGGCGTCAATGGCAGACGAGTACTGGAGAAGCCAAGCAGTTGGCGTAGGAGTCCAAAGGATGCCTGTCACGTGCCCACTGGCTGCTTTGTCACTGACGAGACTCATAGGAATCACCCAGGATCACTTGCTTGGCCGTTGAACTGCTTTGCTAGAGGGAGGAGACAGGAGGCAGCCCTGCAGTGCCGCAAGTGCTTGTCCTCTGCCCTGTGGGCAGCGATGCTTTGTGCAGTGCGGTTTGTCATAAACTCTTTTTTCACCTGGTTTTACTCCTCCAGCCATGGTTCTTGGCCAGCAGGGAAGTGCTGTCTGAATCTCAGTGTCCATAGATGGGTTGTTGCCTGCTTGGTGTCTTGTTTTCATTTTTCAGTGCAGCGCTGCTTTGGCAGCTCACAGTTCTGTGTCTGTCCATAGACTGTCTTTGAAGGCAGCTGGGTCTCTGAGCAGCTTCCCGCAGGCATCCTGTGCAGGGCTAAGCAAGCACTGAGTCGTGGCAAAGGTGGTTGCAAGTGGAAGTTTTATAGACAGAAGGTGTTACAAAGCCCCTGGACGGAATTATTTCTGTGGCATTTAGGGTTACAGACTCAAGTAGACTTAAAAACTCATGTAGGCTTACAAGATAATGCCGTAGCAAATCTGCACTGCAGGGTTTGCAACCTGAGTAACGCGGATTAATTAACTAGACTTCCAGGCTGGAAAATGCAAGAAACAAAGAGCATTGCAAAATGAAAGGATAATCCCTGGTAAACCTATCAGAAATCTTCTTTAGGGCTGTTTTGAATCAGGTAATCAGAGACTTGGGGGACATCTGCCTTGTCACCCTGTGTCTTCCCTGCTCTGGAGGAAACAGCAAGGCTGGGGGCACAGGGACGTTTGTAACCATGACCTAGACTCACTCCTTCCTTCTCTTTGCCAGGGGTCCAGCCCGGCGGGAGGCTGTCTTGTTGCCTTGTCGTGTGACTACAGGATCATGGTGGAGAACCCCAAATTCAGCATTGGCCTGAACGAAGCCCAGCTGGGCATTGTGGCTCCCTTCTGGTAGGCCAGTGCCTCCCACATCTAGTGTCATGTGTAGGAATTCATCTTCAAGGAATTTATTAATCAGTTTAACTGGCTTCTGAGATACAGTTTTATGTGTCGGTGATCAGGTAGTTGCAGCTGCAGGAGACAGCACCTCGTTTCTTTGTCCTATCCTGCAGGTGTCTGAAAAGCTTTCAGGCTGCAGAATGTCCTCACATCCTTCACCAATGAGGACCTTAGCTCTGACTCTGCAGTCAGCTCCGAAACTAGTGCTGGTAGATGTCCCTGGTCAGGCTCAGTCTGGGAATATGCTTTTCTCTGGATACACGCTGTGTACCTGCAAAATCCCTTAGCTGTGGAGATCTCTGAAAGCGTAGGGACACTAATATACTAAGGCACAGGTCCTTAGTTGCCCTAAGAACATGTAAATGTACTGTTGGAAAGGAGCTTTCCAATCACAGCAAGTGGGCACAGCTGCGACCTGTGCACTGAAGGTAAATAGAGCAGCTCTTGTGGAGAGAAGGGAGAACTCTGTTGGGATAGTACTGAAAATGGCTCTGCTTGCCTTTGCGCAGTGTGGCTCAACTCGTAGCTACTGTTTAGAGACCCGTGCCTGTGGAGTGGGGCCAAGTGTGCTCTTAGCTTTGTTGTCTGGGTGCAGCTGCTGCAGGGTGTTTCTTTCCCTGACCGTGACTTTTCCTCCCATCTCTTCTAGGTTTAAGGACACATTTGTGAATGTTGTGGGACACCGAATTGCTGAACGCTCCCTTCAGCTGGGCTCCCTCTACCCTGCACCTGAGGCCTTCAAGTTTGGCCTTGTGGACGAGCTGGTGCCAGAGGAGAAGCTCCAGGAGAAGGCTATGGCTGTTATGGCACAGTGGCTGGCCCTTCCTGGTAAGGGTGGCACCTCTAACAGAGGAAGAGGGGATTTGATCTGGGTGGGAAGGACAGGTACCGGGGCTGGTACCTGGGACCTATGTAACAGTTTCCTTTTAAAGGGAAGGTGTGGATGGCTGGGAGGTAGGAAAGCTCAGCACAGCGGTCCAGGCAGCCTTGGGCTAACAGAGATGGGCTTGCCAGTGCCCCCGCGTGGGAGGACAAAGTGCTGGGTGTGCAGGACATGTGGCTGCAGCTCAGCTCGCCCTGCCAGCCCTGCTGAGTCAATCCGGAGGTGTCTGAGCTGTGGATACAAACTGAATCTCTGTCTGTCAGTGGAGGTGTTACCCCAGGAAAGCTGCCATGGAGTTAAGGGAACAGGCTGGGTGAGAGTGCCTGGGTGGCAGCCAGTCTGCCTTTGTGGTCTGGATCAACTCTCGGCACTCTGCTGAGCTGGGGATAGGGACAGGGGTGTGAGGACAGACAGCAAGTGCAGACATCACATGTGTGTTTGGGCTGTTCTGTGACTGGCAGCACACGGTTCCTGGGCTGGGAGAGGGATCTCCACTGTCCTGGGCTAGGTCTGAGCTATCCCATCCTGTGCCACCTCCTAAGGACTGCAAGGAGGTGCAACTACGTATCACCCTTCAGCTGCTCTTTCTGTAGAAACCTGAATGAAACTGCGCAGAAATGGATGGGTCACAGGACTGTCACTTTGAGTCCCAGCCTTGGAAGAGGGTCACTAAACAGCTCTCTCCCCTGCTGTCCTGGTGTTAGAGTGATGACTCAGCCCCTAAGAGTGGGGAGCACGTCTCTCTCACAGGAGGAGCTGTGCTCTCTCCTGACTTCCAGGAGGCACCATGCAGATCCTTCCCCAGAGCCCTAAATCAGAGCCAGGAGGAGTCTGTCCAGCCAAGGGTGTCTGTAGCACACAGGTGCTGGAGCGATTCGGGGTTGCCAGTGCATGTGGGGTTGGTCATCATTTCATCACCACAGATGAAGCACACCGAGAGTGCATATGCAACATCCGTGCAACGGATGTGCTGCTGCATCACTGCACGTGGCTCTGTGTGTGTGTGAGCAGATGTGTGCTCGAGGCATCGGTCAGCTCCAGCAGCCAGCACTGCTCCAGCAGCATCCATGTGTTTGTGTGGAATGGCACAGGCCCAGAGCCTGTTGGGATGAGCTCGAGGGGACTGTGCTGCTGGCTTTTGTACGCTGTGTTTGGCATGAGCAGACTGTCTTGCCAAAAATCAAAGGGGTTGGGTTGGGGGAGCTTAGAGCCAGAGCAGTTTCAAATAGTGGAGAATTTTGTTTGGTTACCACTGTCCTCAGCCTGGTGGTGTGTATTGGGGTGGGGGCTGGACCCCGAAGGGTGCAAAGAGAAGGAGGTGCACAACTTCTTGTCATCTGTCCCAGTAGATTGGTCATTTCCCAACTGAGCAGTACAGATCATGATTTATTGTATGAGAATTTATCCAGTTCAGCTTCAGCTGGTGGGTTTTTCTTACATCTTTCCCTGCGGGTTTAAAGAGCCCTTTGGTGTGCGGTACCTCCCCATTTGGAGGCACCTGCACATGGTGGCACTGGCTGAGAGCTGGTCAGGGGTGAGGACCATGCACGTTCCCCATCCTCACTCTCCACAGACCATGCCCGTCAGCTCACCAAGTCCATGATGAGGAAGGTGGTGTTAGACCGCCTGGTAGCTCACCGGGAGGAAGACATTCAGAACTTCATCAGCTTCATCTCAAAAGAGTCCATCCAAAAGTCACTTCGCATGTACATGGAGATGCTGAAGAAGAGGAAGAGCTAAGGAGCCAGCCGCCCGGGGCCCGGTCCCAGGAGCTCAGGTGACCCTCTGAAATGCTGCAGTAGCTGTAGACTTTCACAGTGAAGCTGTCTGCAGTGTCAGCAATTGGTGATATGCTGCCCGCTCCCATGGCCGCCCCAACCTCCTCTTCCCCTTAGTCCTCGTAGAGTGCCTGACACCACCACTGCCTTTCCTGAGAGTGGGGAGAGCTGCCTGCTCAGCTCCCTGAGGAATGGACAGGGAGAGGGTCTTGACACTGCTGTGGCTTGAGCCTGCCAGTCCTTGGATATCCTCCTTCTTGTCCAACAGCTAATTGTGAAATGAGATTTGTCAATAAAGTCTTCAATGAGGTAGGAGATGGATGCTTCGTTCCCCAGCCTGTCTGTGGTCACTGCTTCCTGCCTGGTGGCCTGTTCCTGGGCTCTGGTTTGTGGTGGGCTGGGGGAGCTCTGCCATGAGGCACGTGGGCTGGGGGGTCTGGGCACGGCCAGTGGCCGGCTACGACCCTCCTCCAGACTGGGCCCAGAGCAGCTGACGCAGAGGGCTTGTGGATGGGGCTGCGGGGAGCACCTTCGCCAGGGTTGGTGGTGGGAGCTGGAGCTGGATCATGGTCTGTGGCCGCAGGAGGATCTCAAGCCATCAGCTTCACCTCGACTGGGTAGTGGTCGCTGACTGCCAGGGCCTGGAGGAGGGCAAGAGGTGGGGAGTTGTAACGCAGGGGTTCAGCAAGCTCCTCGCTGTGCTGGTAGGGCTGGCAGGGCAGCTGTGATTGCCCTGCCAGAACCTTCTGCCTGCTGGAGGGGGATGCAATGTCCCCAACACTGAGACACTCAACACACAAGGCTCCAATTTTGACACCTCTCATGGAGAGATGCCCAGATGTGGCCTGGGGTGGGTGCTGGCAGGGAGTGCCTGCCCTCTGGGACCCCCGTGTCTCGCTCGGGAGCTATGTGCCAGCTATGGGTGGTTGAAGATTGTCTTGGATTGCCCCACACCCCTGGAATCCTGCCTGCGCCTGCCCATGAAAGGCCATGAAAATCCCCGTGCATCTCATCTCTTCCCCATGGGGACAGGCAATGACCCCAGATCCCCTCTCCTGTTTCCACTCATGTGAACCTCGTCACCCCGAGCTCCCCATTAGCTGGCTGCAGGCTGTCATGTCCTGTGAGGGGTGAATGGCTTACGCAGGGGCTGTGCTGGCATCCCAGCAGGCAGGCACTGGGCAGCGGCACAGGTGCTGCAGCCAGAGCCTGCTCGGGCTGCTGCTAGAGCTGCTTCAACTCTATTTTTGAGCTGATACTTAAATGCGGCAGCTATGTGGCTGCACCAGGCTGCCTAATCCTGAACAGATGTCGGCAGCCCCACAGCTGGTGCTGCTCTGGGCAGCTCAGCTTTGGTGCCTGTTTGAGCCCTGGGTTTGCAAGCCCAGCTCACCTCCTCCTGCTCCAGCTGGAAAGCGCGCTGGAAATTGTAGATGGCAGCTGAATTCGGCACGATGCTTCTCTTCAGCTTTGCGCCGCACACCACGATCCTGCCAGGGAGATGTGGGCAGTGGGTACCACTCCTGCCCCCACGCTTGGCTGCTGGTGGTGTGGGATGGGCAGGGGGGTGCCGGGGACAGGGATGGCAGTGCCGTGGTGGTGCTCACCTGTCATAGGCACAGTCTGACTTCCCCACGGTGGTGTCAGTGCCATCGGGGAGCAGCCACTTGAAGATGTCGCTGGTGCGCAGGCGGATGGCCGACCAGTCGCTCGGCTGGACGTAGGCGCAGTCAGCGTTGAAGTCCCCCAGGAACATGATGTTCTGCGATGGGAAGATGGGGGGGACTTGTGGCGGCTGGGGAATGGGGCTGCTCCTGACACCAACCCTCCTGTGGGGGTCAGCCCTGGGTGCCAGGGCATCCCCTGTGGCAGGGGACAGGGCAGGAGCAGGGTCCCCATCCCACCACCCTTGCACCAGCCGTGCTCGCCTCAGAGTGGGGACCCAGTGTTGGTTGAACGGTCCCCAGGGCTCAGTGCCCACCCTCGGTGCCACCCCTGGTGCCGGTGGCACTCACATCAGTCCCCCACTTGCTGATGATGGCCAGGTAGACGTCGTAGAGCGCATCAATCTCAGCAACGGCATCGTGTGGAGCCGAGTGCAGTGGCACCAGCACAAACTCTTCCACCTCTGCCAGGGGAGAGGGACGTCAGCCTCACAGCCACCCCACGCCACCACCTTGGGGCCACTCATCCCCCTGCTTACTGGTGTGAGGTGCTGAGACCCTCAAGATGAACGGCTCCCGGCTGAAGACATCCTGGGGGTCCTCATATTGGTAGGTGTCCACCACGGACACAACGTCTGTCCTGTGGGATGAAAGGGATGGTGACCCTAGGTCTTGGCACAGCCCCTGTGTCCCCTCCATGGTGTTGGTGGCCCTGCAGTGCTGCAGGACAGGTGGCAGCACGCCGAGCCCCGTTACCTGTAGATGAAGAGGTACATCTCCTTGTAGTTGTCCCGTCCCAGGGGGCCGCTGATCTCGTAGTCATACGGGGATGTGGACATGCTGCAGAGATGCAAAGGCAAGACGGTGACATGGCTGGTACTGTCCTGGGGTGGCCTCAGCATAGCCAGGGGCTGGGCAGCCATGGGGTTGGCACCAGCTTGTCCTGCTCTGCTGTCCCCATGGGCCACTGTGCCCCAGCTACGGGGTGACATGGGCAGTAGTGGCTCCGAGCCACCCTGCTGTCCCTACCACCGTGGGGTGGCTCCTCGGGCATGGCCAGCTGCTGGCAGGACATGGGGCGGCTCCTGCCACCCCTTTCTCTGCAGGGACGCTCCCCAACTTCATTTGCAGCAAAGCTAAATTAGGTTAATGAGCAGCCCGGGGCCCCGCAGAGCCTGGCGTCACCCTCCCTGCCCTGGCTGCTTTGTGGCCATGCTGGAGGGGACACCAAAGGGGTGAGGACATGGGCTGGGTGTACCTGCTCAGGAGTACTCGCTGCCTTTCAACAAGGCAGTGGCAGCCTCCACCCAGCCCCAGCCTGTGCCCTTGCCCAAAATGGGGTCAGCACCCAGCTGGCGAAGGGGCTGCCGCCCTGCAGTGGCCAGTTTTAGCCCACCCCAGCAGCTCCTTTTCCTTCTGGGGTGCCTGAGCCTCTCGCTTCAGAGCATCATCTGCTGCTGGGTCCATCCTGGGGTCCCCCTGTCACTCACGGGGTCTTGGGGTGCAGGGGGCTGCCTGCCCCTGCCCCCTTCATTCCCCATCTCACCTCTGCCTTGTCCTGTTGGATTTTGGAGACAGAGCTTGCCAGTGCTGTTTCCATCCTGTGTGCTCTGGTGGGATTGTAGGTTTTGGAGGGGTTTTGTGCCACTTGTATCCCTCTCCCCCTCCCTGGATTATTCCTGGTGGCTTTTTCAGTGCCTGCTCAAAGCTTCAGCCCCAGCAATTTTCTCCTATTCCCCTTTCCAAAAACAAACCCTCTGACAATGGACTAATTTTTTGCCTTTTGCTGCTCAGGCGGCTTGGCTTTCCCTGCTAATACTGGCGTCTCAGCCCAGGCGCTCTCGGCCCCAGCCCCGCTTGTACCTGTTGAGCTGCTCCATGAGCTCAGTGACAGCGCTGAGGTCGGAGTCGCGCACCTCCTGCACCAACACCACATCGTAGCGGGACAGGATCTGCGAGGCCAACAGGGATGGTGATGGTGAGTGGGTGCCTGCCACCAGCTCAGGTCACTCTCTCCCACCCTTTTCCCGGCCGGTCACCCTGACACGGTGCTGGGTGCAGCACCACAGGGACTCACATGTCCCTTGGTGCTGGGGCAGATGTCCCCACAGAGGGCTCAGAGGGACTGCACGGTGTGCCTGGTGCCCCACCTTGGTCCCCACCAAGCCTTCATCCACTCAGGACATTCCCAGCACTGGGATGCCATCCCATCCCCATCCCCGTCCCCATGTGTCCCTGGCACAGGAGCCACATTTCGTGTCTGCCCTAGCACACAGCCTATCCCTGCATGGCACGGCTGCACTCACGCTGACGATGATGCCTGCCACTCCCTCGTTGGACATCTTGGTGTCACCGAACGCCTGGATGTTGAAGGCACCGATGCGCAAGGTGGCGGTGGCTGGGCACGGGAGAGCCACAGTCAGCAGGAACAGTGCCAGTGCCATGGTCGCCATCCTGCCAGGAGGGATGCTGAGCCGCAGGGATGCAGTGATGGGAGCCGAACTTGGAAAACTGCTTTGGATTTGGGGACAGAGCAAAAAAACCCATGTAGGTCCTTCTTAAGTCCTGGTGTGCAACAGTGTGCCATGGTGGGCACTGCCCGGAGCAGCCTGCGGAGCTGGTACGGGCTGTCTCCTGGCTTGCCAGTCCCAGGGGAATATAAATCCCGTCCTGCCATGGTGAATCCGCCCGGTAGTGCCTCTTCCAGCCCCTGGGATTGCCCAGCTCCACTCCCCGCCAGGATGCCTCCATCGCCCGCCAGCCCCAGCCACCGCCACCGGCACCCCAGGCTACTCCGTGTCCTTAAACTTGATTGCAGTCTGTGCTGTTGGGGTAAGGGAGTGACTCCTCATCCCAGCTCGTCCCAGCTCATCCCAGTCCCTTGTGGTTCGCAGCTGAAGGTGCTGAGCCCAGATCCATCCTTACCTTGCCGAGTGCGCAGCACTTCTGCCCTCCCGGCAGCAGGATGGGCGGCTTTATTCCCGATGGAAGTGCCAGCAAAGCAGGATGAGTCGGCCACCCCGTGGGGTTTTTGGCATGGCTTTGGGCTCCTTCCTACATTGTGAAACCAAAAACCCACGGGGCGGCAGGGTGGGGCCAGCATAGCTGCTCCTGTGCTGACGCGGTGAAGTGCGGCCAGGGAGGCGCGGTGAAGTGCGGCCGGGAGGCACGGTGGTGCTGGGGCATCCCAGCAGGGCTGGGTGGGTGCATGGGACTCGAGGTGTGGCAGCTGGGGTGGCCCCCCGGGTCGCAACACGGGGCACAGCGGCCAGGCAGGTGGTGAAGGGCGATGGCCTTAACGTGGGTGATTCAGACAGTGTAATTAGAGGGGAGGGAAGGAAATGGTGGGGTGTCTGGGTCAGGCAGGTTGAGCACCACCAGCCTTGGCAAGAGGGGGCAGCTGCAAACCCCTGCAGCAGCCCCAGCAGTCACCCAGAACAGCCCCACTTGTGCCCCAAAGCAGCCCCAGTTGTCACCTTAAAGCAGCCCCACTGGTGACCCAAATCAGCCCCACTGATGACCCAAAGCAGCCCCAGCAGAGCTGGCATCTCCCGCGCCTGCACGTGGCAGCTCCCCAGCCGGGGGAGTGGGCGGCTTTGCCGGGGTGCCGGCAGCGGGGCGGCCAGGGAGGCAATGGCTGCTCATGCTGGGGCTTGCCAGGCTCGCGTGTGCGCCGCCAGGTTTTGCATCCTCGCACCCAGTCACAGGATGAGTCCGGTGTCCCTCAGCACCATGATGGCACCGAAATCCCCCCAGGAGGCACCGAATCCCCCAGGAGCTGACTCACGTCCCCTGTCTCCCCCCACCCTCACCATCAGCGCCCTGTCAGCTGCCCTGCAGCCAGGCGGGCGCCAGCAGGTTGTGGCCCTGCAAACCGGTGGAAGAGCATCCTACAACCCAGCAAGGGGGGCCAAATCCTGCCTGGATCCTCCCAGGCCCTGCCCAGTGTCCCTGCTTTTGCTGCCAGCAGAGGGGAGCAGTGGTTGCCACCCCGTGGGTCCAGGTCTCTCGATGGTGGGAGGGGAACCCCAGCCCTGGTGGGGCTGCCCCTGGCAGGGGGATGGGGGGGCTCAGGTGTGGGGGTGGTGGGGTGGGGGCTGAAGGGACCTCCGTCCAGAGCTGCAAGGGCTGGAACAGGCTTATTTTTTAATGGAAGCAGAGAGCATCCCATTCCCCCAAGACCCCAAAGAGCAGCTCCTTGCAGAGACAGTGGGCAGCTTGGCTGGTACTGGTGGTGCGTGAGCTCCCACGAGGGATGCAGGTGCGTGCTGGGGCATCCTGGTAGCCGCCAGCACGGGGATGGGCTCAGCGGGCTTTCAGGGTCACCTCCACTGGGAAATGGTCGCTGACGGCCAAAGCCTAGGTGCAGGGGGGAAAGCAGAGAGGCAGCTGAGCTCATCTGGACCCACCACGACTCTCGTGGCTGGCTGGGATCCAAATGCCCCACTCCAACCCCAAAATTTAGAGCGTATCCCAAATTGCTCAGGCTGGAGGGTAGCATCGGTGCAGGGGTTGGGGCCGGGCCACCCTTGGGCACACCCTGGGGAACAGAGAGCCCACCCGCACTCCCAGGAGATGTGGTGGGTTGGATCCCAGTGCCAGTGGGCTCACGTGCCCCGGCCCCTCACTCACATCCTTGTTCTGGAGGTGGAAAGTCTTCTGGAAATTGTTGATGGTGGCGGAGCCAGGCTCGATGTCCTGGCGCAGCACGGTTCCACAGGCGATAATGCTGCTGGGGCATCGTAGGGGTGTTAGCACCCGCCAGCCCCCTCACACCAGCCCCCACACCTCACCACGGCACCCACCGGTCATAGGCACAGTCGGTGGTGGTGGTGACAGTGGTGTCAGCACTGTCGGGGATGAGCCACTCGCAGGCGTCCAAGGAGCGCAAGCGGATGGATGGCCACTGGGCGCTGGTCACGTAGGAGCAGTCGGCATTGAAGTCACCCAGGAGGAGGATGTTCTGTGGGGCAGTGCGCTGTGTCCCTGCCCACAGACCTTATGGGGCACCAAGGGCTCCCTAAAATCTTAAGGGGCAGCAAGAAACCCCTTCTGGGGCTCCCCAGCACAGTGGGACAAGCCCCCAGTAAAGACAGCAGAGCCACCCAACAAATCCCTGCCCGGACATTGCCAGTGTGGCACCCAATCCAATGGGTATGAGAGGTCTCCCATGGGACACATCCATCCGAGGACAGCTGCCAGGATGTGCGGTGGCCGTTCCCTAGCCCACCCAGCTACCCCGGAGAGGAGCCAAGCTACCCGCCGCCGCTTACGTTAGTTGCCCACTTGTTGACAACATCGGTGTAGACGTCGTAGAGCGCGTTGATCTCATCCGCCGCGCTGCTGGGCTTGGCATGCAGGGGCACCATCACAAACTCCTCCACCTCTGCCAGACAGGCGGCTGTCAGCCCCTGGCTTAGGTGCAGCACCCAGGAAGGGAAAGGGAACCCCAGGGGACACCCCTGGGCCAAGCCCCAGCTATCAGCCAGGAAAAACATGCTAAAGGGAAAAAGTGCGTTGGCTTTTTGTGGTCTGCCTGTCCTCCAGGCTGGAATTTCCAGTGGGGAGCTGCATCCCTCCATGCGTGGTTTGGGGTTTGCTGCTTGTTTCCTATCAGTTTTTCCAAGCTGCCATGGTTTTGGGAAGGAGACAGGGGTGGGAGAGCAACGGGAGAGTGTGTGTGCCTTGGGGAGCTTCTCGGGAGGTGGAGGTGATGGCATGAGGTAGGGATGGCACAAGGTGGGAGATGGGAGGTGATGAGAGATGGCAGGCGACGGGAGATGGCACATGATGGGGGATGGCACGTGATGGGAGATGGTACGTGATGGGAGATGGTACGTGATAGCATGTGATGGGAGATGACATGGAACTGGAGGAAGTAGATGATGGGTAGCAGGTGATGGGATGTGGGACACAATGGGAAACAGCTGGAGACATGATACGGCATGCAACTGGAGAGAGCACGATGGGAGATGACAGGCAATGAGAAATGGGAGATGGTGGGAAATGGCACATGGTGGGAAACAGTAGGCAGTGCTGGCCATGCTGGACAGGTACCCAGGACCCCTGGGCACCCATGGGTGGGAGAAGGCCCCACAGCAGTGAAGGACCCCAGTGGAGCACCTGAGCTGGGCTCCAGGGTGCAACCCCCCCACCTGGCAGGCACAGCTCCAGGCTCAACCCCACACAGAGGGTAACCCGTGCCAGATCCGGGCAGCCCCCAATGCTGTCTCTGCTCACGTGTGGTGGGTGAGGAGAACTTCACAATGAAGGGCTCCCTGCTGAAGGTATCAGTCCCACAGGGCTCGCAGCCATCATCGTAGTAGTAGCTTCCCAGCACAGAGACCATATCCGACCTGAGGGAGCAGAGCAGGGCAGCCCCCAGCACCGCTCCTGCTGCAGCCAGGGCCCCCAAAGGTACCCACCACCCTTTGGGAGCTGCAGGGGGGGACAGCGGGTGACACAAGGGATGCTGGGCCCTGGCGTCATCCCTTACCTGAAGATGAAGACATACTGCTCCTTGTAGCTGGTCCGACCCAAGGGCATGCTGTCCAAAAAGCTGTATGGGTGTGGGGATGCACTGGGAGCGAGATGCGGAGAGGGTGAGAGGAGGCTGCTGGTGTCCCCCAGCACCCATCGGGCTCTCTCTGGCAAGGCAGAGGTGCCCCAGCACAGCAAGACACCAGCTGGGATCTGTCCTGACATCCCATGTGCAGACACCTCCCGCCCTGCGCCATCGGGGTCACCTGTTGAGCTGGTCTATGAGCTTCTTCACAGCACTCAGGTCGGTGTCCTGGACCTCCTGCACCACGGTGATGTCATACCCCAACAGGATCTGGGGGGACAAGCTCAGAGCTGCTCACCCCTGGCTGGGAGCTGCTCGTGGAGGCACCCGTGGGTGCCTGGGCTGGGCTGTGAAAGCTCCCAGGCTGGAAACAGGGGCAGGTAGCAGGGACCCGAGAGCCCAGAGAGGGAGCTCCTCTGCTGATGCCAGTGTTCTCTGTCTTGAAAGAACCCTGAGGTGACACAGTGACCTCTAACACCCATCTGCCTACCACCCACCATCCCAGCAGCTCCTCGCTTGCGGGCTGCTCTACGTGAGGAACCTGGGCAGCACCGAGCATCACCCATTCTTCGCTGAGGACCGGGAAGAGTGGAGATGGACCGAGGTTGGAGATGGAGATGGGGGGAAGAGCAGATTTGTGGATGGATGGAGGCAGGGATGAATGAATGGAGGTGTGGGTGGATGGAGTCATGGATGGATGGACGGACAGATGGATGGGTGGATGGATGGGGGCATAGGTAAATGAATGGGGGTGTGTGGACAGGTGGATTGATGGGTGGGTGGATGCACAGATGGACACATGGATGGACAGATGCCTGAAGAAAACTAGTGTCTGACTGCCCCAAGCTGGCTGCATCCCAGAGACCAGAGAGTGGCCAGGACTGCTCCTCTTCCCCAGCACTCACAGAGACGATGATATCTGCGATAGTCTGGTTGGACATCTTGCTGTCCCCAAACACCCTGATGTTGAAGGCGCTGATCTTCAGCGTGGCAGCCATGTGTAGCAGGAGAGCTGCAACAAGCAGCGACAGCACCAGCTTCGAGGCCACCATCCTGCATGAGTGGGGCAGGGATGGGCTCAGCACCCCTGGCTGGGAGAGGAATTTGGCACAGATGACGAGGGTGACTAGGGTATTATTCCCACTGGCCGAACTTGTTTTCCTAGGAGGCATCCGTTTTCCAGCAAACTACCAAGACCCAGGGATGGTGCACTACCCTCCAGCCATCCAGCTCCTGCCTCATGCGAGGCCTCATCCTGCCTGTCCCCCCTGGAGGGAGGGACGCCAGACCACCTGTGAGGTTGGAGTGGATAATTCACTGGCAAAAGAGCAAATGCCATTTCATGGTAATGCAGAACAGTCACTTCCTCATTCACTGCACTCAGCCCAGACACCTCCCCTGACCCAGGGCAGGCAGCAGCAGCCGGGGACACCGAGGTCCTTGGCTTGTGCCTCTCCCATCCCTTCTTGGGTCTGTGCCAGAGACCCAAAGGAGCCTACAGCTGCCGTGCTGGGACAGAGCAAGGGATGGATCCCCCCCCAGCACCCCTTCCCACCTCCTTCCCTGCCTGGACCATCCTCACCTGGCATATCCTGCCCCCCCCTCTCCCCCAGCATTGCCCCTGCCCCATCCTCACCCACGCTGGATTCTCCCGGGACCCCCATCGAGGCAGCACAGCAGCTCATGGGGAAAGGCATTTGGGAAGTATTTCCCGTGGCGCTCAGCTCCCTGGGGTTATATTTCACCAGCGGATGGGATCCGAGCCCTTCCCAAGCCCAGGCACCCTGAGCACCTGGCGCCGGTGGGAGCCCTGATAAGACGGGCTGAGAGGACTGGCAAACACCCCGGCTTTTGGCACATGCGAAGCCTGGCCCGAGGAAGCGCTTGCTGCCCCCAGGCCTGCTTTTTCTTCTGGGGCAGCTGCTCTAGTTAAATCCTCACCTTTATCCACTTGCACCCTTGCTATGACGGCAAACGCTACCATCCGTAATGCTGCAGTCTCTCCAGTTGGTAACACAGCGATTCGGTAATGCCACCATTTGGTAACGCTATGATTTGGTCACACCACAAACTGCCCAAAGCCCCGCAAATCCTCCCCGCTCCCAGGGGCACAGCAGCCTCTGCAGCCTCCCCAGTAGAGGCACACATAGAGGACTGTATCCACTTCGGGCAATGCCTTGAGCTGTGCCCAGGCTCAGTCCCAGCAGAGAGTTTCGGCAAAATTAAGCCAAGCTGGAGAAGGTGACATTGGAGAGGTGAGGTCCCGGGGCGAGGGAGGAGAGGGGAGTGGGACATACCTTTGGTGTTGTCCAAGGTCTCTGGAAGGGGAAGGAGCTGCACCTGCATTTATGGGGAGGGATGTGCTCACCTTGCCAAGTGGTCACCCAGCCAAGGAGCGTACGAGGCCGCAGGCTCCATATGGCATTTTTCACGGAAATAAAGGTCTGCTCAGTGAAAAAAACAACCCTTTCAAACAGTGCCAATACCTCCTGACACAGGTAAGGCCAAGAATGTGCTGGAATCGATAAAAACACCGACAAGAGATCTGTGAGGTGTAAGTGAATCCCAGAGACCACTGGTGGGGAATGGCAGCTCCCCAATACAGGGTGTGGGCACCTCTCACTCATCACCAGCTCCAATTTCTCTTAAAAAGTGTTTATTTCGCCAACACCAACCATTCCCATCC